TTCTAGTTCTTAAGTAATGAACTTTGACTTTTCTAATCGAGTTTTTCAGAACAAATGTCAAAGGTGGGAATACGTTCTCTTCATCCGAGGTCCACATTGTCAATTCCTGTTTGTTGTTGTCTTTTGAACTGAATTCCGTTGCTGGGAACGTTTAAGAAAGGTTTCTGGAACATAATTTTTTTTTCCCTGATGCCAGGAGGACAAGCGACTCATTTGTTTCTCCTCGTATGTTGACCTTCTGTTAAACGTTTTCCTCTGTATCCGGCAGGGATTAAAAAGGAGGCGAGCCATAAATACGCCCGAAGAAACCCTGACACTTCGCATCCATTCATATTTTCCGAGGATAATCAAAGCAACGGTTTTAAGGGTGGCTTCGGCTGTAGGGCGTGTGGATGCTGTGTAATTAATAATTGAGGATTCTCTGCTTGGAAATTGAGACTTTGTGAAAGGAGGCTTAGGCCCAAGGCGGGTCGATCTCAGGAGCCTTTCGGGAGCTGCGCGTGATTGGTTATAAAGAGTTTAAGGCAGAATGATTTTATGGGCACCCGAATTATTGTTTGAAGCTAATTAATACACGGCTTAATTAATTTTAATTTTCGCTAATGTTATTAAGGATTATGAATGGAGGAGTTTGGTTATGGGCGGGGAATTGTAGGTATCAGAACCACGCTCATAATTTTAGTCGGGAAACTTCAAGGAAGGAGACCCACCTCCTTGAGAGATCTAGGCATGGATTGGAGGATAATATTAAAGGGGATTTAAAGGAATGCGGTGCAAAGTAGTAGACTGCATCGAGTTTCCTTAGATGTTCATTGGTGGGAAGAATTGATCATGCACGATAGGCCGGTGGAAATTGTACAGTCACTGAACCGTATCTGTTCGTGATTTGCGCTTCTCAGTCACATAGAGCCAACTGCAAAGTTTCGCACCGTCGCCATGTTGTTGTTTTTTCAATGTAAAAATTTTCATTATCAAAATGTTTTTGTTTCTCGAGGTTTCGTTTAAACATCAAATCGTAGGATCGTACTTACATTGTGACGCCCATTTCAGACGTTCGCACAACCTCCATGTTGCTAATATACGAGGTGAAGACCGGTCACTTGTTTGAACGTGCGTGCGTGTGTCTCGTTTTAAAATAACGAGCCTGTTTTTTTGATGGCGGATTTTCATTAAATTATTTACACGTGTCGGATGCTTAAAGCCGAGTTCGTGTCGACGCGAAATTGATTAAATGAACGAAGAACGCGCGTGCCAAAGAGCGGGTGTTGAGTCTGCCTATTAAAGCCGGCTCTGCTACAGATTTAATATTCATGTGTCAAACCGGGGTTTGTATTTCGTTTTGGGTATGCAGACTTCAATTAGTCAGACCGCTAATTGAATTAGCCGTCTTCTGCGCACAAAGGCTCGTCCGCGCCCGGGATGTGCGCGCACACACGTCAGACAAGATATTTCTCTTGGTACTGTTTCTTTGCTTATCTAACGACACTTTCTCAACTGAACAGGTTACCCAATGTTCAGCGATTTTACCGGTGCTCCATATCCACACGCGGATCGTCCGGGGGGCGGGGGAGCTCTCTCCGCAGACACGTGGTCTCACCCCTTGCACCAGCTAAAAGTTTAATTAAACGCATTCCTTCCGCTTGTCGGGGAGTTGCTCGTTAAATGCGCCCGTGAGAGTGACAGTTGAACAACGCATCGCGCTGTGTAGAGCAGATCAGCCAGCTGTCACGAAGAGTCAGACAGACAGACAGACGGAAACGACCATCATCAATACGACCTGGCAGGTACTTAACGGTTTCTTTGCCGTGTTCCTGTAACGGGAAAGCGCTTGATGAGGGGTTGACGTGACGTTTCTTAAAAATTTTGTAGCCTCGACGGACCTAGACGAGCCGTGGGTCAGCGCGCTCTTCGACGGAGCTCTCTCCGTGGCCGTTCTGTCCATCGACTCCAGTTCACATCAGCCGTCGCGACGTCCACCCACCTGCTTATACGCTTAGTAACTCGACTCGTCTTGTCTGCCTTCGAAAGTGTGTTGATGCGTCCCGTTCGATTCTCAACGAGAACACTGTTTTAGGAACCAGGCTACAATCCCTAATGTCTCAGTGATGCGTCTTACGAACTGCTTATGCAAATTCACTTGTCTTCGTGGAACGTGTGGGTTGGCACACAGAAGCCGCGCTGTTTCTAGTGAGGTTTCAGGCTCTCACGGCTACCAGTAAGAATATGACTGTCTTACGGGCTGTTGCGCCGTGTGATCTCATAGAAGTTTGCTGACGTTTAACTGGTGCTTGCTACCTCCATCTTCAGGGCAGTAAGTAAACTGCGCGCTAGAATAAATCAGTTTCAAAGATGTGAATATAAATGTCTCGTAGTTACCACGAAACGTATGTTGAGGATCGTCGCCTGAGTAGTAAGACGCCCGGCAGCCGTCGAAGTGACCCCTCGCCTGGGGCTCAGAAGTGTTGAAACCTCGCGCCTGGCACGCGTTCTGAATCCGACACTGGATCCGCGGTGGTTATTCACTTGTCTGTGTCTCTGGCTGCTCAGGAATGAAACGTGACACTTGAACACTGCCTTTCAGCAGCGCGGCAAGCCATCTTGACGATCCCTCCCCTGAGACTGACTCCAGCAGGAACCCCCGTGGAATCATTGTTCCGTTTCTTCGAGCGCCGTCGCTGTTGTTCAGAAGGCAACGAGACTGAAACTAATCTTCAGACCATTTTGATGCACTCGTTGGAAAAGGGGAGTGATACGCCCCGCAGTACGAGCCGCTTTTCCTTTGTGCGGGGTTTCGTGATGTCTGCAGCGGACAATGGAACAGCGCGTTTCTGTTCCCCTGTTGTTGTTTCAGGCTTCAGCGTGCCGCAACACGCAGTACGTCCTTAAGTCTGATATTGCAAGACGAACACATTCAACCCTGACACCTGTCCAGCAGAAGACATTGGAATATTTTAGACTGTGGTCTTTTGGGGGGCCGTGATGTTTTGCAGTCGTGTACTTAGTTACCAACGTTTCGGAGGTTCTTATAGCTTCCTTCTTCAGGGTAGAATTGAGTAGGGCTGGGATATAAGAAGCTCGTACATAAAGAAAAGAATTAAAGCTGACGTGTGTTCGTCAGGAATGACTGAGGAAAACGTGCCAGCGTGGCTTGTCGTCGGGTCCTCCCGGTGACGAAGCTATTTCCGCTGACTGTGGAGACACGAGGCAGGTTCCAGTTGACGTGTCGTGTTGACTTACTTCGTGCCAATTAGCTTCCGGGATGGAAGGAAAACAGCTTCCCCGCGTCGTGACGGAAAAGACGAGACAGACGTCCGGCACATTAATTGAATTTCAGGGTTCTGACCGCAGAGCTCTCTGGCACTTCCCTCGGGAACATCGGCCGGAAGGTCTGACGTCACGGCGTCGCAGAGGCTGAGGAATACCGGCCCGCCTGTCGGCACGCACAAAAACTGCGAGAGAGAGAGATACGTTGTTGCTGAAAACGCGATCTGTTGTTGCCAAGTGTCGTAATTTGTCGGCGTGTGGGTGATTACCGACGTTTCGGGGGGCAGCGTTTTTCTACGTGTTTCTGCTCAAACTTCTGATTCGCTTTGTCTAAATTTGACAAGGGACGCATTTCACGTAGAGGCGAAACGTTTAAACACTCAGGTATTTCATGGTAAAAGTTGTAGGTTTTTCTTAACGAGTTATTTCGTCCGTGGCGTGGAAAGCGTCAATGACATTGTTTCATCTACAGATGTCATTAGAGGCGGGAAGTGATCATTGGTTGTCAGTAAGTAAGATACACTAACCCGTTTTAAGTCGTGATTCACATCGGTCCGTGGTGATACTTTTCGAAACGTCGGAGCGCTTTCCCTGTTGACATGGTTGGTAGACCGCAAGACTGAATTTCGTTCTAAAGTAACTGTAGCTCAGTTTCCGTGGCTGTGATGACGTCATAAGTTAATGTAATCTCATTGGCTTCCCTGTGTAACTAACTAACTAACTAACAAGTGCGTAGCGGTCGCTGGGTCTCCAACCATTTTCAGTCGCTCTGAGCCGCCCCCCCCCCCCCCCTGCATGAAGCTCCTTCGTGGTTTTTCTTTGATCACGTCGAAGCGAGAGGCAATGAAAGCGCAGGGCCGCCGGAAAGTGTTTGAAGCAAGTGATGCTGGGATAAAACGCGGCCCTTCTTCCTCTCGAAGTGAGTAGGGTTTATTGGTCAAACAACATTTATCATTCTTCCCACGGGAGAAGGATATGGTTCCCTAGGGAACTACTTTATGTTGCACGCATAACGGTTATACTTCGCCCGTTTCGCAAAACGATCCCTGTTTTGGTTATAGGGACGCCGCGCCTCTAAATTTCCCCGATGGTGCATGAAAACAGTCATTATTTACCGCAACGGTCGGAGCTTATCTTCTCTGACACGGCGGCGCGCAAGTCGATGCACCACTGAGAGAATTGCCAATTAATCTTTTATCGTTTTGTGTGAGTTCGAAGGTCGGGCGACTGGCCGTTTCGATTAGAATATGTGTGGATGCACGTTTTTGGAGGTATCGGTTCGAATCTCTACGGGGACACCGCGGCCTTCCCGGGAAAAAAATCCCGGAAATTTGCACTTAAATAGGCCACTTTCTTCTCAGTTCGTCTGTGACTAACCGTACGACCCAGCGCTGCGTGCAGATGTGGAAGTTGTGTCAAATGAACTCTGAAAGAAGTTTTCTTGGTCTGTCGAGTGATGGGCGTGTTAGACCCACGCAGCGGTCAAAAGACTGGGCGGAAGGGACTTTGTCGCTGCGATCATCCGGGCCTCGACGTCGTGTGGACTCGCGGGTAGATTCCGACGTTTCGGGGGGTGGGCGGCAAAAAAAAAACTCTGCCTGCATATTTGCAATTTCCGGAACAAATGCCTCGCTGATGAGTCCCAGCTCCAGTGGAACCTCCGCGGTCTTGATTGATGATGGGCGGCCGACGCGGGTGCCGTGTTATTTAGAACGTTCTCTCTTTGTGCATTTCAGGTTGGGAGCCGTGGTCTGACTGGTCCGCCTGCAGCGCCTCTTGCGGTGAAGGTACGCAGGAGCGGAGGAGATTTTGTCGCCAGAGTGATAGTTGCCATGGTTACAACAAAGAGAGAAGGCGATGCAATATGTTTTCCTGTCAAGGTACTGGAATTTATTATGCAAATTGGATCATTAATTTTGTCTTAGTAATGGGACCTTTGTTTGCTAACAGAGACCCAGGGTATCGTGAGTCAGGGGTGATTAGCCTGCGTTACGTGTGCCACATCTGGCCAGACGTTGAGTAATTAAGAATGTAGAGAGATCGCTGATGGCTTCAGTGACTTAGTGATTGGTGACTTACTCACTCATTGGCTGTGACCCAGGTCAGTTCAAAACTGAGAACTGACGATAATAACAAAGCCCGTTTCCGGCCGATGACAGCTTCCTCGGCGCAGGCATGGGAACACGGTAAGCGCGGCAGTCTGACGAGATGAGCAACCGTCACGTTTGCAGGTGCCGCGTACCCGCTGGACATCGAGGACCGCCGATACTTCCACCCATCCTCCCGGGCTCAGTGGGAGCGCGTGCCTGGGAGGCCAACCGCCTGGAGGCTGCACCCCTACTCCTACATGTGGGTTCCGTCGTCAGAACTCTTCCCTGCCGTGGGTAACAGCCACACCGGGAACTTCCCCAGGGAGTTCACCCTTCTCGTCACCCTCAGGCTTCACCCACAGGTAAGGTCTGACGGAAACCAAGCCGTCCTGTGAGGCGGAGTGTGTTTCTCGACGACGTCGTCGTCAGCTGACTGAACTCTGTAGCGGAGTCTGAGTGATTTCTTTGAGGTCTGTCAATGGGACCTCCGTTTCAGGAGATTTTAAATGTCGCAGGTTCACTCAGTCGCAAGGTCGTCGTCACAACACGGGCGTTGCAAGCTGATTTAACCTCGCGAGGTCGGGCTTTACCAGGAACTGTCGCGCCATTTAAATCCAATCAGTCTGCACCTCATCAAGCTTTCCAGTATATTAGCAGGCGTGGCGACAGCAGAGACTCCTGGTGCCGGAGTAAGAACTCCCTCGTCTCTTACACGCAAACGACGCGAGTGCGTAATTAAATTTTACCTCCGCTTATTTGTAAGTACAAGACTTTAATATTTCTTTCTGTGGTTTTTACGCGTTGTCAAATATATTTCACTTCTCTCATTTGCTGTTCGTTGCAATTTCTTCGTCTCTCTCTCTCTTTCTCTGCCTCTAAGAACAAAGTTCCCCAAAAAGTTTCCCTCCCTCCCTCCCTCGCAAAAGAGACTTTGGAATAATTACCGTAGTACAAGTGTCACGTGACGCGTGAAATGTGTTCCATTCGCTCCGTCTGATTAGTTTGTGAGGAGAAGCGGTCGGTCCGACGTTTTCAGAAACTTGCCTGCGTCCACCCCCACCCACACACACCCGGATTTTCTGTTTCTGCGCTGTTCCCTGTTCGTCTGAGGGCCCGGAATTCTGCCCTCGTGATTTACAAATACGGGACGTTCTATCCAGTGTCAGGAGGAGAATATTTTTGAACATTTTATCTGAGAAGTTATGTGAACATTCTTTAAGCCCGTAGAAATAAGTTTAAATTTCCCGTTACAGAAATTACCTCGCAAGCCATTAAACGTTAATGGCCCAGAAATGAAAGCAGGCGGTGGAATCAGAAAAGGACATTTCTGCGTGCGCTGATTTTCCAAATGAGGTCATTGCGTTTTTCCCCCTGCTTGTGTGACCTTAATGTGAATTAATCGCTTCACAGATATCGCAGTTGCTCGTTCGGCGCGCTTCGTAAAATCACTTCAAATAAGCACTTGTATTGAACAAGTGGATACTTTGTTTACCCCCACTATGAGCCATCTTTGGATAATATCTAAGTTCAGTTGTACCCAAAATTAAATTCGGCAGTAACGCTCATATGCGAAATGTCTATACCGAGTTTTGTCGATATCTGTTTCGAGTGTGTCTGGGACAACATTCGAACTTTTCCCCACGTAACGCTTCGTTTTGCACAGTTAAATGAAGGCGTCTTGAGTGTCGCTAGTACCAAGGTGCAAGGTCGTTTTTGAAACGCTGATGGTCGCTCAGCCGCTCATCACCGTCCCCACGAGAGTCCGTCGCTCGGTTCATCCTGTGAAATCGACGAGGCGACGTCTTCCTCCCGCCCGAGCTTAGGGGATCAGACGTCTCCTTTGGGTCTTCATAATCCGCCTCTGTCGGCCCTGGACGTTTCGTGCTCACTGCCCGCAGCGTGGGACAGATGTCAGCGGAGTAAGGTGTGGTGACAGCGGGTTTAAGGCCTACGCCCCCCCCCCAAATTGCCATGACGCGTCTTTGCTGTATTTTTTACCAGAGGAATCTTATTAGCCGGACACGGAGATTTGCTGTCTTAATTTATTTCAGCTAACTGTGCGGTACGTAGGCGCACACGTTGCTAACGTCCGCTTTAAACGATATCATTTGATATCAGATCCCAAAATTTCTGTCTGTCCGGTAGAGGAATCCGAAGATCAACACCGCTAGTAATTCTGAGCCAGTTAAATCCATTCCGCCTTATTTCTCCGAGACCCATTTTAATATTATCATCCCATATTGCTTTTACCCCGTCTTCCAAGGCGTGAGTCAAAAATGTTGTGTATATATTCCTTAGCATTGCGAAACGAGCTACATGACCAGCCCATCAGAGCTTCGTACATTTTATTATCCCAGTGGCGTGCGGAACTTTTCGTCGCGTGGCGTTGTGAATTGGCCACTGCCCTCGTCCTACTCAGTAGAGGTTGAATCGGGTGGTACGTATAGTTACCACTGTGCCACACAGCTTCCGCATGAACGTTATTTCTCTGCTGGTCCCCTCTGCACCGCCACGGACTCGAACTGGACACCCTTCGAATAAAAACCCGTGATCACTGAACGTGTGTCCCTAGCAGTGAGTCATGTCAGTGCTTGATACACCGTCGTAAAATAACCAAACTAGCAACAATTTCTTTAAACTTGTTACGTCGCTAGGGTTTTGATCGTGATGCAGAGCCACGTGATCGATAAGGATCATCCGCTAATCCAGGATATCGATCAGCACATATCGATACGCCGCTCGACATGTGAATTTGTATCCCGCGAAACGATCACGGAAGAGGGGAGGTTGGGGGAGGGGGTCATGATTACGCACGCATTGAGGGCGGGCGTCTGGTTGTCGGCTCGAATTTGTTTCCAGGCCGTGTCGCTTTTGCGACGTTATGGGCCCCAATGGAACCAAGACGGGGGTGTTTTTAAGATGCGGGTCAGCCCAGTGGTGGGTCTGTGCACCGGAGGCAGACCTTATGCTGTAGCCTTGGAGTTGCCCTGTTGCGTGGCAACCAGTCACTTGAAGAAGGCAGCAGGATCAACTGTCGAAACGTCGTTGTTAACTAAGATACGTCATGTCACGGTGTGTATTTGAAGAGTTTCGCGAATGGAAAGAGGCCGGCGATCCCACTCGGTAAGTTCTGACGGCGTAGAGTCGTTTTTTATTCCCGTTAAACTTAATGAATGGCACGCCCGGGGGTAGGACATATCAAATCGCGGCTCGTATGACGTTTTGCCCGGCCGTCCGTGCGTGAAACAAATGTTACTAGAACATAAAAAGGCGAAGTAATGATTCAGCGTGATTATGTTTTATGTAAATCCATTCGTCAAACAGAGGAGCTTTTCTAGAAGGATTTACTTTTCTCCCCTGCAAGCTTTGAGTGGGGGGGGGTTCCCCCCCCCCGCACCAGGTCCCAGCGGAGCCGTGGGTTTACACAAGCAGCCCTAGTCTGAATAAGAGAATCAGCTCAGTTTCAGTTGGTACACCTGTATTCTCGCCGTCTGCTTGCACAAATGCTAAAGGGCGAATCCGCTTGTAACGTAGTCGAAACTAATTAAGGCCTGACAATACAGCAGCTTCCAGGTACAGAAGGCAGGCCGAAATCCAAACTTGCGAGGGAAAGGTGTATTTAATGATATTCTTGGCCTCTGTGTCTTGTATCTGGCACCCAACGAATGACTCTCCTCGCATATAAGCGGCTTCATTCGTCGATGAGGTGATCGGCCCCTGTGACTAAGCACCACGCAACTTAGTCCCCTGCATATTCGGTCTGAACCCGTTAGACGAGACAGAAATTTCTGTTACCGCCGGGAGTCGAACACGAGTCATTTGCCCCCACAGGTAGTCATTTTAGTGACTGACCTCTCCTAAGTTGGTCACTTCTTCGGGATGAAAGAAAATTTCGAGTCCTAAAGGAAAGAGCAATGTGGGTAGAACAGCAGAACGATGGAGTGCCCAAGGGATTGTTTGCTAATACTTGGAACTGTCACTATCGTGCGAACGCTAACACGTGGACCCTAGTAGATGCAATCCTTCGGAGCCCTAAGAACGAGCGTTGGCAGGCCTGTATTTGTTTCATTTGCGTAAGTGAATCGGACAGAGGACCTAATCTGCGGTGCGAACAGCGTACAGGTTCGTCCATTTAATATTTGAAATTGCTGCCGATCCGTGAAAACGCAATTGATAAAGCTGAAGTCAGCGACGGCGTGTGGACATGACGGGAATTACTGCTCGTTCCGTGAGGTCATTTGTCGTCAAATTCAGCGAAGCAGCGAGATTCTGAACAATTTCCAGCCTTCAGATGGTGAGCGCGGCTTCGAACTAACAATAGTTTAAATGTGCAGGCCCTGTCACAAATCTGTGAATCTGTTGTATGAACCAATGGGAATGGGTCCTGAGACGACGCTGTTGCAACTGTGTGGTGTAGGGTATATATATATGGATGATGTGTGATGAGTAAGGATTTGGAAGGAGGCGTCTGCGACCTGTGTGGAGGTTCTGTCTCGAAGCTTGTATGGAGAGACTGAGAAGATTCGTGATAGCGCAGCTCCTGCAAGCAGTCTGGGATAGATCAATTGCCGAGTCAACACGTACGACGTTATGTGAGACACCCTCGACTATCTAAACCCTTCAAAAATTGGGGCCCGGACTAATTCTCGCTATAATTCAATTAATTAATTATTTTTCCTTCTGTGGATTACAAGTCTGTGTCGAAGCGCGTCCCGCAAGACTGTTCCCATCGGAACGTACGTTACGTTCTGTGAGCGTTCGGCTCAACAGATACTCTTTGGCGGCGATTGAGATTAGGCAGTTCCGGGTACTTAAGTCCGGCCCTGAATCAGTAATGGCCCGTGTCTCCTTCGGACAAAAGTGTCTGGCATTTGACCCCCCAGGGTGCTGGATCAGCGTCCGATGGTGAAAGGTGACGTCCCCTTAGGGACAAGGGACATTTGGTTCGCTAGTTCGTTTCAGACGGAGCCTGTAGTCCTCTCTCTCTCTCTCTCTCTCTCTCTCTCTCTCTCTCTCTCTCTCTCTCTCTCTCTCTCTCTCTCTCTCTCTCTCTCTCTCTCTCTCTCTCTCTCTCTCTCTCTCTCTCTCTCTCTCTCTCTCTCTCTCTCTCTCTCTCTCTCTCTCTCTCTATCTCTCTCTCTGCATATGGCCAACATCGGCGTCATCGGGACTCGGTGGACGTCAGGATCAGGGCCCTTTGGAACTCTCGCTTCTTTACTGGGCAGATACTCGGTTTGAATAAACTGCGTTGTACTGATGTTCTGTCCGAGGTTTGTCATAGATTCCCTTCTGTAGATGTTTTTTTTTCTTTGCAGCTGAAATGACGTCGTTAAATTGTAAGGGTCTATCACTGTATTCACGT